TCACAAAAAATTCATATAGCAAATAAATTGTGCGACCAGCGAGTACATATTAGAGCTCACGGTACTACAAACCTGTTAGGAATATATATTATCTCTATTAGAGGAACATCATATCTCAATATACCTTGAACTCATTTTCAAACATTAATTCAAGTATTTTTGATTCCTCGAATATTTATGGAACATATTTGAACTCCACATTGTATCCTTATATTCACAATTGTGTTCTATACCTTAAATAATTAAACATAATTGTGCGGTAGGTGAATACAAACATAAATGTTGGTTAAAATAGTTTTTCTTTCTTACGTGAATCCTTCAACTTTAATTCAGCTGCTTTCTTAGACATATCCCATCAAACTATATCAATCATAATTATTGGTAGCATACTAAAATAGCAACACCAAAATAAAATCTTGAGAAACGATCAAAAGTCATAAGTGTTGATATATAAATATAGTTATAAAATCCTTAAGGTCTCAACAAGGAGGAGGAAGAAATTCAATCACTCATTTACCCAATAATGATCGTAAAAGCACGCGTGGTATGAAACATGTGTTACGGTATTTTCTCCCTCTCTTAGGACATATGTCATTTTATTTAAAAATATAAATAACACCGTATAAATCCTAGTTTATGTATTATTCAATATCTAACTTGAGTTCTCCTTATGTTGATTTCTTCGGGCAATCTCAAATTGAAAACTAGATGAGGTTATTAAATAGGTTTAATAGATAGCAAAAAAAATCATTTTGTTTACTTACAATAACCTCATTTTGATATTTAATCAAAGCGATTGGGTCATGTACATAACACAATCACTTTGTCTCATCTCAGTACATCCCAAATTTATTTTAAGTGATTGCTCATGTGAGTGAGTCAATTTCTACATATTCAACAAACTATCATAGATCTCATACTTTCAACCAATATCATTACATGATCAATACATCTATACTTAACAATTTATTTAGCTGCCAATATATACACTACAAGATATACTTCTTGTTACTCTATGTAGCAAAAGTGCACAAGTATAATAACTATTTTTGCTCAATTAATTCTCATCCTTAGTTGACGTTTACATATCCATTCAAATCATAAGTTATTATCTCAACAACAAATTGAATAAGTGATAGCGGTACCCTTTAGGTATTACAATATCATTTTTAAGGATAACATTGATACCTACTGACTAGATCCATGGCATTACGAATGTTAGGGTAAGTATACTTTATAGCATGCTTCTAATTCCAAACCGTACTAGATATGGTTCTTTAGATATTCTTGGTGCACAAATGGAATCCTTGTACATATATGAAAATTCATATGGTCGCCTTCTGATATAATAGCATCAAAAGGGGAGCAATTTTACAATTAGAAATATTCTAGAATCTTTATAATAAACAACTCTTGTAACAGAAAAGAAAACTAGAATAATGTTTTAACACAAAAACATAATTTGCTATGCACATGTCCTTTGTCGCAAAGATTGAGGAAAACTATTTCAAAATAGTCTCAATACACTCATTCTCATGATTAGTGAATATAATGTCATCAACATCAAAATTAGAATTATAACCTATCATCATACATTTACATAAATACAATGATATTCATTCACATGACGAAATTTTATACGAGATTTAAACATTGTTAAAAAACTCAAGTACCACTGTCAATATGACTGCATTAGGTCATGAGTGCAATTATAAATTTACCACAATACTAGAAAGTCTTTAACATGAAATCTACAAGTCAATTCATATGGATCTCTACAATCAATTCTCAATTATGAATAAAAATATAGTCTTTAGCTCTATTTGATGCAACTTTAAATTTAAACATATTATCATGGCTAGCATCGATGTCTAGATATGACATGGTGACATATAATTGGATCGAAATTTTTTCAGCTAAATAATAAAATATTTTTCTCTCTTTTTGACACATTATCTACATGTAAACCATTATGCAACTTTTTATGTACAAGTAACATTATCCTTGAAACTATATTATTCCCACTCGAAAACAAATCACTCACACTTGAATCGGAAGCTTAAACAACTCTTATGTAGTTAAAATGATTTACCAATACACATAATATTAGTTCTCCAAACCTTTCTCCCTTAATAGGAACAATAACAATGTCACGTCTTTGTGACTCAATATCCACCAAAAATTTCAATTATGTACAGATACCCTTTGGATTGTCATGTGTATTTCATAGAGATACATCTCGATCTTACTAGACTCATGTTTTCAAACTCACTTGAAAAACTTGAGAACCTACATAATCGATCAGGAATCTAAGATAAGCCATATTTATCTATGTTTCCGAAGCTTACAAAATTCTAAAGGCACTAATATTGAGAGAACTACGTTAAGTGACCAGTTGTAGTTAACCAACATTCTTCCCATAAATAAAAACATAAATTGAACTGCATTATCTCAAGTTTTATTACCTAGATCATTGAACTCTCGCGATAAAGATTCACACTCTTAAATAATTCTAAATGTCTTCATTTTTATAATATGATTTTCTACTCCACTTCAGTAAAATCTAAAATGAATACAATATCTTCAAATTTTGAAAATTAGAAGCTCAATTGAAATGCTTGAATCCATCTATAAATGTATTGAAAAATTTGAGCTTCCATCTCAATCTCTCTTAATCATATCTCGCAAAGAAATTCGAATGGATAAACTATGGAAATTTAGCTCTTACAGCTTTGAATGATTTTCACAACTCAAAATCTCAAACCATTGCACAAATATTCGAAACCATAATATTATCACTACTGTGAGTACGAATAGAACTACACCATATAAATTTATGTTAGAGACCAATCATAAAAGAAATTAAATTGAGATCAAATTTAGTGAACTCTTTGAAACTATCGTAATGTCAAAAAGGAGGTCGATTTTTCTATTTTGCAATAATAAGTTGCACATACCAGTCCTATAGACATCCACTCCATCTTCATTATTGGTATATATTTGTTTTGTACCAAGTCAAAGACTTGAAAATAGACTAAAGACACATCTTGATCTCATATAATGTGGGTATCTAACTCTTGAATCCACTATTCACACGGGATAAGATTCAATATATAGTGTTTGACACGTAAACAATATTAAGAGAAATATATTCAAGTGCAATATCTTTCAACTTAAACACTTGTGTTAAGTGATTCAAAATCGTATAGTTGAAGCAATTGAACTTTTATATAATTATTCCTCTACCAAAACTACTTCATGTACGTACTATATGATATGTCCTCTTGATTCCTTTTTTTCAATTTTCTCATCTATTCCGCATTTATTATAGCTCATTTAATACTTAAGACTTGAAGTCTTATACGAATAGAACAATGCTACACAAGCATGTTCTCGAAATTTAGCAATACTAAGCTGCACTTCTTTTTAACTCAACTTAGCGGATAGTGTCAATAAAAAAAAGTTGGCACTTCAATTTGTAAGTCACATTGACCTTCAAATTTTTCAACTATTGAGAAGAGACTAGCTTAAATTTTCTACTCGTCTGAACATTGCAGTTGGACACCGCACACGTCCCCACGCGCGGGTTAAACATTTTTTTTTATAATATAGGGCGCATCACATGCAAACCACCACTACATGCCTGGCCTTTTCAGCCCCCTTTCGTTTTATTTTTTCGTCTTTCTACTAATTTCGACGTTCTGAGTTCATCTTTGTGGTTAGGATTTAAAAATTCTATAAGTGACAGCGTGTTTGAGACACAAACGCAATGTAAAGAGAGTAAGGGTGGAAAAATCTGCTCTTAATCTTCTTCATTTTTCTTAATTTTTTAGATTTTGGTTCAAACTTCAAAACCTCGTAATTTCTTCATTTTAAATCCAAAATTTGAGTTCTTTATATGATTGCAAGCTCATTGAAATACCTTTCTAACAATACTAATATTATTGCATGAAAATCAACAAATAAAATCCAATAAATTTTTGAAATTTCTACAATTTTAACTCGGGTTTCATTTTTCTCCAAAAATATAAAAACAAAAATTTCAATTTGTAGATATGATTTAATCATATAGGGAATATATGGAAAAAATCTCATGAATTTATGTTGTATGTTTTATGATATGCCATTATTGATGTTTTCAAGTTTCAACAAAAATGGGATACATGCATTTTTCATTATAATAATTCTTTTTCAGCAAGATAATATACAACGAAAACAACTTTTAAGGATTTGATACCAATGAAAGAATTCGCAGCATTCTTTAATATAAATTACGAGTCAAGATTCTTATTTGAGAGAAGAATTTCAAGATATTTTTGTATAGTTGAATTGCCTTATTTTTCAAGCACCAAATTCTGCATTTTCTTGCAATCCAATGGTTCCAATCCAGATGGGGATTATTATCCACAATTTAAGTGCTAATTTTCTGAGTTTTCATACCAAATATGTGGTTTTAGCACTACAAGAAAAATGGGCTTTTGCAACACTTAAAAAAGCAACATTCATTCATTAAATATTGCTAAAGGGGTCTATTGCAACGTTTGGAGGAGTGAATGTTGCTAAAGGGGTATATGGCAATGTTTTTTAAATGAATGTTGCAAAAAATGACTTTTTGCAACGTTTATTGAACGTTACGAAAAGTCTAACCTTTAGCAACATTTTTTGAACGTTGCGAAAAGTCTTAACTTTTTGCAACGTTTAAAAAACGTTGCGAAATGCCACTTTTGCAACATTTAAAAAATGTTGCAATAGGTGAGAAATGTTAACCTTTCGCAACGTTTATTATGCATTGCGAAAAGAGAAGCACATTATTTAGCCCAACGTTAGCCCTAATCTCGTCTCCGCCTCTCTTTTCTCTCTCTTTCATGTCATTTCCTTAATTCAATTTCTCCAATCCTGACTCCTCTCCTCTCCTCTCCTCTCTCCCGACTCCTAGTCCCTGCGACACCCACGGTGCATCAGTCTCCCGACTCTCCCAAAGTCTCCTTCACTTAGAGGAAATGGTGGTTCGTTTGCAGCTTTCAAGGTTCGGATGCAGAAATAAGCCATTCTACAGAGTAATGGCAGCTGATAGTACAATCCCCTCCCTGGTATATCGTTCTCCAATTGTACTGGCATAGGCAATTTTTTAGTAGCTTCTCTCCAAATAATCGAATTTCTTTTGAATGAAAAGAAAAAAAAAGAACGACTTTTTCGTGGTAATAGTTCTATAGAAGTGATTCTTATTTCTTTGGGTGTTTTTGTCCTTTTTTTCACTGGAACTGAAGGGTATGTTTGTTCTGTGCATTATTCTAATTGTGTTGATGTTGATTTCGAACATAGAAAATTTTAGGGATGGTGCAAAAATTTGAAATTATTTAAGCAAACCAACCTCCTTTTCCTTATTTTTCTGAACTTCGACCTCTCCTTCAGTTCGAGTCATTCTATTACTGAGAAGCTACAAGCTCCTTTTATAGAGATCCCTCGCATTTTATGGATTCATTACCATTCCTATCATGCTGATTGCAATTTGGGGTAATTTCATTTGTCTTATTAAGCACAGTGCAGAGGTGAATTTATAGATTTTTTCTGTTAATTGTTTCTATTTTATTGAACTATGCAGGTCAAGATGATGGTAAAAGAATGGGTCTAAATTTTGATAGAGTGAAGTAAGTGGTTTAGAAATCTTAATTCAAATTTCATATCTGATTTACAGAAACTTTTCTACCTTAAGCAATGTATTGAGCTATATCAGGTAAAAACTTGATCTGTCTGTCCTCGGTGACATGTTTGAAGAAGAACAAAATGTATTGAGCTTCTCAAATTGTTTACTTGTTGCTTTTCCTCCTTTAATTGTCATTATTTCTTATTATTCTTTAAAATTTCCTGGGCTTGATATAGATTAGTTTGCCAATAATTTCAACTTAAAATCATTTAAAGATTTGACACTCTTTGATTCCTCATGAGTTGGTCTAGTCATTTTTTGGGTTCATTTGCAAGTTACTAAGTTTTATTTGTTTCTTGCAGAATGAGTGTTGTTTCTTATCTTTCTAGTCATTTGGCTCATGCAAAGTTTGTGTCTGCTTCATTAGTTGCTGCTACACTCGAGAGGTGGTCAAAAATTTCTTGTCTTTCATATATACGTTAATTATGAAATGGGAAACAACCTGAAATAAATTAAAATATTTGATTTAGTTCCATTTTTCTTTGTGAGGTTTCAGTATTGCAAATTGGTGTTATGGTTATTGCAAGAAACATGACGTTGGTGTTAATCCAAGAGCTCATAAAGTCTTTTACTGAATTGAATTTTTAAGTTAAATTCCTTTATATGTGGCATCTTCTAAGGTGTCTATGCTGTGGGCAGTCTAATTTCTTTTAGACTCAAGCACTTTCACATCTTGCTTGAACTGATTGATCATTTCATTTGTAACGTTGTCTCTCCATTAAAAGACTCTTTTAGTTGTGGAATGAAAGCTGCAAGTTGGAATCTCAGTCATCTTAGTTGTAACCGGCACTATCTTTTGTTGGCTAACGTTTCATTATTATATTAATTAGTTCATCCCAACGTTTGAAATATTTCAAATTCCAGACAATGGAGACTTCAGATTTCTTTTGGTGTGTCTGTGATTGGTGTGATTTGCTTTTCATAAACATATGAACCAATCTAGTTTCTATTCATTTCACGATAGATTTTAAGTTTTTTTGTGCTGGTATATCAATTGCCTATAACTAACATATCTTGTACGGGACTTTTGAACCTGTAGATGCTTGGACAAAGCTGCTCTGCAACTGAAGGAAGATAGTGCAAATCCAAATCCTTGAAGACTTTGCACAATGACACAAGTTGAAGAAGTCAAAATTCTTCTAAAATACACTTGATGGAAAAGTGAAGATAAAATAATGGAAGATAGTAGGAGAATTAGAAGCATACATTTAGAGGGCAGGTAGGGTGGTTCATAGTTTGGGTAGTTTGTGACTAGTAACTTTTGTTTGGAGAGAGATGTAGACTTGATGCTGGATTTCTCTAATTTTATTTCATTTTGAAGTTCCTTTTTATGTAGGAGGTGGTGTATCACATTTTAATTTTCAAGTGCGTGGATTCAAAAATTTGTAATGAAATTATTAATTTTTATACAATTTTGAAATTTGTTGAAAAGTAGTATTTTCAAATTTGCTTGTCAATTTACTTAAATTTCCCAAAAAAAAAAAAAAACCTACGGCAACGTTTAAGAAACGTTGTCAAAGAACGTTGCGAAAGACCCATTTCGCAACGTTTGCTGTATCTTTTTACTCTACGGTCACACCTCGATTTGCAACACATATTCAAACGTTGCAAAAGGCCAACGGCAACGTTTTTTTTGTCGTAGGCTATTTTTGGTGTAGTGTAGGCACATTTCAAATTTGATAATATTTTTCATACGAATTTCAGACTCTTATCATCTCTTTTTTACTTTCTATTTGTCATAGACAATTAATTGAAGATCATATAGGGAGTTAAGAGAGGTCTTGAGAAGTTTTAGATTTGAATTTCAAACCACTCCTTGTAACCCTTTTGATATTCTGTAGGCCAAGTCATTCTTCATGAACGATCCACGACCCGTATACAAATCTGTGAAAAACCAATACTACAATTTTCTCACCAATAATAATGTTTGTAGAATGTACGGAAGTAGTAAACAAAATATAAAAGGACGTCTGATGCTGTGAAATAAATATATTCGGACAAGATTTAAGAAAAGACGTAATATATTTGTTTAACTTCTTTTTCTTAATACATTACAATCTTGTTTAATTCCTTTTATCAAACATTTCATAACGAAATTCATTGTGAACCTCGACGAGAGAGTGTAATAATACAATATGGAGTTTCTAGAACTAGCAAGATTTTTGGAACCTGGAATTTTTCTTCATATTTTAATGGTAATGTAATATTCTTTCCTTGCTGTGATGCATTTACTATCTACTGAGAATAAAACCCACTTTCCACCACTAAAAAATCTCAACCATTTACAAAAAGTCATAAAATTATGCCCCAAAGTGTAAAATATAGTCATTGACGTGTTTAGCATATCCCCAATGTTTATCATTTTGCCCCTTTTCTCGAAGGTATCAGGTGGATACTGTCGAAAAAGTTTTCTTTTCATATTAAAAAAAAAAAAATGTAAGCATAACCAAATGTTCTCTGACTGATGAAAGTCGTTCAACAAACCTTGGGAATAAATTTTCTTTTCTTCTAAAAACTCCATTATATTATGTATAATAAAAAACATTTTTAAATTTTTTTATAAACTCTACAAGTATTAAGGGTGGACATTTTTTTCGAGAATCGGTGGAATTGGACATGAACTTGTTAGAATCGGTCTATTCAACTTCGACTCTTCGAGTCGTCTAAGGAACAATTCAATTTTAGGACATAATATCAAGAATCGGCCGAGTCCGATCCGGATCCCTATGCTGGTATTCTCACGATTTTCTTGTTTTTTGCTTTTTTTTAAGATAAAAACCTCAATCTTTTCTTATTTTTATCAAACACAAATTACATAATCATGTTCAGCTTTTCTTTTCCAGATTCCTTCTTCTCTTCAATTTCTTTGATTCATTCCTTCTCTCTTCTTTTAGTTCTTTGATAAATTGATTCTTTTCTTCCTACTCAAGCAAAATCATACCACGTTTGAGCCCCATTTTGGTAAGAATATGTATTTTAGAATAATAATTTTTTGAGAATGTATGATTAAAAAAAAAGTTTACGTATAAAATTATTTTACGTGAGAATGTGTGCATAAAAATGAATTTTGAAAAAAATGAGGTGTCCAAACATATGCTAAAATATTGGGTAAATCTATAACTATAAAACTTTATAAATGCTATACAATTTCATTCCCAAGAATCCAAGAAGCAAAGTGTAGATAAAAATCTGTGGCTCAATATTAACTCATATTTTTTAATTTGTATACTTGATTTTCTTTTAATCTTTGTAAAATATGTACATTTCTTCTATATCTGCTTAAAAGCATCATGTCGGCAGCATCTTTTGAATTTTTTATTAACGAACATTTTTATTTTGACACTTTTAATGTAAAGAATCGGAACTGTTCAGATCTTTAAGATTATCGTGGAACCGGGTCGAATCAGATTCCACTCAATTCTAAAGAGCATCTTCAAGAGAATTTGTAAACCCAATACGCACTCTATTTAGAAAGTCAAAACTTAAATATAAGTTCCAAAAAACCTTTTATTCGAACTTTTTAAAATAGTGGCAGGGTTTGATTTTTCAAATTTGAATAGTCGAACTCATTCTCTATTATCACTCCTTCACTTAAAAGAGAGAATGTGATATTCACTGTTCATTTTTGTCACA